AATGGAGTCACTCATGCTAACTGACACATTGTCATACTGAAACTATAAGAATGAAGACAGATCCCCAAACAAGCTCATTTTCCCAGTTACTCTGCTGCTCTAACTCATAAAAAAGCAACCTGAAGATAACCTATCAGTCCTCCCTCCCCTCATCACTATGTTTCCTTGTTTTCATTTCACAAAACCCACTGTTCTGCCACTTGGAGTGCTTATTCTGTTTTTCAGAAAGGAGGCTACCCTAACTCATGAATACTAATAAAACCCAACTAGACCTATATCTAAATTTGTTATGATTTTGTCTTTTAACAGTATGTTATTGTCAAACCCACTGCAGTATATGCCTAAAACAGATGCAGTTTACATGAATTAAGTTTATTTTTCTTTATTTAATGTTTGGAGATAATTTAATGCAGAATACTTCAAATTAGGATTTTCAGACAGTCCAGAGATACTCTATAGGGAATTTTGACCCCCTTTCTCACTTCAATGATCTTCAGGTCTCCAAAGAGCAAAGTTTTGGATGGAACAACCACCATAAAGCCCAAGATAGTACACTGTAAATCTGTTCTACAACAACCACTACCATGTTTACTTTTCAGCAAAACAGCAGCATTAATTCCACTAGTGTTTTAATTTTCTTTCTTTTCTTTTTTTCTTGGCTGTACTGGGGTTTAAACTCAAGGCTTTGTGCTCTACCACTTGAGCTATGCCCCTAGTCCTTTCTGCCTTAGTTAATTTTTCAGATAGGTTCTCTCACTTTTTGCTTAGGCTAGCCTTGAACCATGATCCTCCTATCTCTGCCTCCCAAATAGCTGGGATTACAGGCATGTACCACACCATGCCCAGCTTATTTTTTTTTTTTTTTTTTTTACAGTACTGGGGGTTGAATTCAGAGTCTCATGCTTGCTAGGCAGGCACTCTACCACTTGAGCCACTCTACCAGGTCTTTATTGTTTTTTAAATGCATTTATTTCATAAATTTTTTCACTAAGAGCTACAAAAATGTTAAATAAATTTTTAGGTTTGTAAAATCTAAGAAATAGGAAATTAACATGAGACTCTTTATTTGGGATGTATATACTTACCAAATTTGAAAAATGTGTAAAGTAATGTGCCCAATTAATGACAGAATTGGTATTAGATTTGAGATCTGTCCTTATAAGGACAAACATCCACTGGCATATCTACCAGTCATTTACAGAATATCAGATAATAAATCTACACTTGGGTCATGATTTCTAAGACTTTCAGGGGCTGAAAGGATTAGATCATTATTTCTAAGAAAAGATGACTATCAAAAGTCTCTTCTCAACTGCCTTTTCAAAACCATATCTATTAATTTGGAAACTTATCATATTTTTCATTTTTTAAAGTTGAAAGAATGAAGCAAACACGTTTAATTCAAAGTACAATATGAAATTTAAGCTCAAATAACTTTTAGCTTTTTGTTTAGAATACATTTTCTGCATTCTTTTATAAAATTCATGGTGGTACATGTCTGTAATCCTGGCTACTCAGGAGGCTGAGGCAGGAGACTGAATTCAAACCCAGCCTTACTATACAAATATTCAAATTCTTTTTTTTTTTTGTGGAACTGGGGCTCGGATTCAGGGCCTATGCCTTGAGCCATTCCACAAGCCCTTTCTTGTGAAGGGTTTTTTTGAGACAGGATTGCACAGAACTATTTGCCCAGGCTGGCTTTGAACCGCAATCCTCCTGATCTCTGCCTCCTGAGTAGCTAGGATTATAGGTGTGAGCCACCAGTGCCTGGCCACAAATCTTCAAATTCTTGATCAAATAAGTCTGACAATACTCTCTCAGAAAAGCACCCTTCAATTCTATTCCTTTCCTGCATATACCAAATAATTATCCAAGATCCACTTATCCTTCCAGACATCTCCAAAAGTATAATTCCATTTTGACTGAAGTCTTGTTTCCTTAATTCCCTCATGGTGGCAAAATGTCTTTCAGCAACGGTTTATTGAACTAAGACTGCACATCCTCCCCCAAGCTCCTCTGGAGTAACACTCATGCCACCAAGCACACCAATAGCTGTGACATTATCTCCGCACCAGGGCTCTCTGCTTCTCCTCCTCAGGCTGGACCTCACAAAAAGTGCCAGGAAGCAGGATGGAGGCCAAGTGGGGGAAGATCAGAGGAAAAGCACCCCATAACTCTGAAGCTGATTTCTTCCAAAGAAAGCCGACTGAAAGCTTGGTGCAGTTGAGAGGTGAAGGATGTCCTAAGGGTGGTAAGATGAACCAGTACAAATGATTTTGCATAATTTCTCTGAGTTTTCTTTTCATTTGATCCTTGCGGGAAGCTGTCTTCCTTTCTAGTAAGTCAAACACCCTCCTAGTTTTGAGTACAAAAAGGATTGTGTACTTTTCTATTGGATAATATGGCGATTACTATAAAGGTTATTAATGTGAGAACAGAGCAGGACACAGGAACCACCTGAACAGTAAGGTCTAGTCAGTTTTCAAAAGAGGACATACACCTGAGGCCACTTGCTGAGAAGTGTGGAGAATACAAAGAGCATGAGCAGAGGGTGTTCCAGATGTCAGATGATTTCCACTTCTCTACACCTTTCTATTGTATGAGACACAACAAATGTGCTACCTTTATAGCAGCAAAACTATTATTAATGTAATTTAATATATAGCCATTCACCATTGCTTGGCAGGAGCTGGGGATGGAGGGCTTCATTGAATTCATAGTGCCTGGATATAAACCAGAAAAGGAAAGTTATACATAGCACCCAAAGAACATGGGACTCAGATTTCAAAACCCGTGCTCACGCTCCAACTGTGCCAATACTTGCTGCCTCAAGTCATTTGCTCTTTGGATCTCGCTCTCTTTATCTGCTGGATACAATGGCTGCACTCAGGGCCTGGTTCTCAGATTCCAAGACCCCTAGCTCTGACGCAGGCTATAGGAACAACGGAAACTGATCTCTGTTCCAAGGATAGCTTGGGAGGAGGGGAGCAATAAGGGCCCTCCACCCCTCTTAATCACTGTCTGTGGGTAGCAGGCACAAATTCACTTACAGGCTTCCTGCCAGGAGAAATGAAAGCCATTCTTAGTTCAAATACGAGACCAGCATGGGCTCGCATTAGCTGAAGCTTTTCCAGAATGTTCAATCTAGAATCTTCTCACCCGGCATCCTTTGTTCTGGGAGGATTTCACAGCTTCTCCATGACCACCAAAAACATCCAGTCACTTAAAAACGGCTTTGGAGCAGCTCCGCCAGCGCTGAGCAATTAGGCATTCATGATACCCCCTGCTGTCAAGTGGTCATTAGTTTAATGAGGACTATTAAAATCACATAAAAACCTCACCAAAAATAAACAAAGCAGCCAAAGCCAGCTTCTTAAATGTGTCACAGGGCCTGTGCACATAATGTGAGGAATGCTCCATGCACGCTTAGAATTATGGGAGCCTGCTGCCTGGAGGCCCAGGTTTTAATTGGCTTTAATTTTTTTAATGCTCATTGTATACCATGACCACACATGTACATATAATATTAATTCTAGAAAGTGGCTTTAAATTCGAACTAGAAAAAAAAGATGTACAACTTATGAGAAAGAACGGGAAGGCATTCTTTGGGCTTCATTGTTCTCAGCGTTCTCTGAACCACTACAATCCTCAGCTGACAGGCAGGTGAATGTGGATCACCTACCTTCCTTTCCCCATGTTCAACTCCTGAAAATCGGCTTTTTGCTACAAAAAAGACGATGCAAGCCAGGTGTGGTGGCACATACAGTAATCCTGACACTTGAGCTTGAGTTTGAGGCCAGCCTGGGCAAAGATAATGAGATCCTGTCTTAAAAACAAACAAACAGACTCCTAAGGGTAGGGGGTGTAGCTCAAGTGGTACTTGCTTAGCATGCAAAATCCTGGGTTCAATTCCCAGTACTGACCCAAAAAAACCTCAGAAGTGAATCAAGTGGGGTATTCACATTCAGAAGTCTTTTCCTTTTCTTGGTAGATGGCAGTGAAAGCAACTCCCAAGGGAGAATGTTCAGGTAGCTGTCACAGCCTTTCCCCTCTGGCTGTTTCCCATGGTCAGGACAGAGAGAAGCCTTGACCAAGGCTTTCAGAGGCAGGAGCCAGGTGCTGAAGATTTTACCTTTACCTCCTGTTAACTTAAAAATTATGGGAGGACTGGGCTGGGGATCTCAAGTGGTAGAGTGCCTGCCTAGCAATACAGGCCCCGAGTTCAAGCCATTGTTTTGGACAGTACTCTGTACCAGGCCCCACAGACTAGACCAAGCAGAATGGAGTCATTCATGTGCCAAATGCCACATTATCGAATTGAGCCCCTAAGGAAGCAGCTAGATGCCAAGCAGGCCAGCGCTTCCTGAAAGCAGGAGACTGAATTCTTCCTGAGTTAGGATAAGAAAGTCCCCTCTGCTTTAAACCTGACAAAACGTAACCAGAAGTGATGTGGCATTAACCACTCAGGCTTTTCCTCTTGTTATGTCTTTGTTTTCATGTTACAACAGGCTGCTCCTACCAATGAAATGAACATTGGCCAACTGGTCTGCAAGTAAATCTGTTGTAATTATGCCTCAACACTCTGAAGTCACTGGCCAGTGGAAGCTGCTTCTTTAACAGGATCCTTTCCCTCTAGTGAGCAAGATAAACGATTAGAAAAACCTGTCAGCAGGCGATTTTTTTTTTTTTCCTTGCAAAAGAACAACCAAACCAACAAACCAGTAAAGCAGCAGAATGCAGGGGGAACGAACTTCTTTTCTGACTAGAGAAACCAAATGTGAAGCACCCAAAGAACAAAGCACTGCAAGTACCCCATATCTACAAGTCAAAACTCCTCATCTAGGAGAGGGGGAGCAAGAGAGGAAGTTATAAACAGGCCTCTTCACTCACTGTCCTTCACTGCAGTAAGCGTGCAGCACAGAGCCAGGCGCTCTTGGGAATTAGACTCAGGAACGCTAACCTCAGCCTCCCCAAGGATGGACTGACAAGGCAGACTTTACCTTCAAAGCGCCACAAAGTTCAACTGTGTCTGCGTCATCCACCACAGTAATTCGAAAATTGGGGGTCTGCAGGAGTTCTTTGAAGAGGAGACCATTCTCCACTATTTTGCTGCCTGTGGAAAGATTAGGAAAAAGGAAATGAAGAAGGCTCCAGCATTAGTTTTCACACCTACTAGATGTTAGTAACCTTTCTCTTACTTCAAAAATATCATGCTTATCTCCCAGAATCTAGAAAACACGCAGTAGCTGTAGAATGTAAGGCCTCCCACGATCCCAGTGATCGCTGTTTTCAGCTTGCCACGCACCTTTCATTTATTGGATCTGAGCATAGTTTATCTCAGACTTGGGAATGTAGCACATATGTGGGTGTTTTATAATCTGCTTTCTGTAAACTCTAGAAGACGGGATGCAATTAAGAGTACTTGTTTTGGGGACTATATTCCCCTCCTGGAGCATGCTGAATTCTCAGTGATTTTCATGTATTTATCACTTTTATTCATTTTTGTTTTGGAGACCTTTGATTAAAAAGTGAAGATAAACTGAGTGTGGTGTTGAACATCTGTAATCCCAGCACAGAGAGACAGGAAGATCAAAAGTTCAAGATCATATTGTGCTACATGACAAGACAGTTTTCATCAATCAATGGAACAAACAAAAACGAAACCTTACACATAAGGCCTCATGGGAAATCGCTGGCTGGTGGAGGGGGCATGGAGCTAAGAAAGTCCACCTCTTTATCAGGCTCTGAATCCTGGATGTCAGTTAACCTTTCCCACCAATCCAGGCTCCCAAGCCAATGCCCCCACAGAGAGATGGCAGAAAGGATGCTGAGGACTACAGCACTGGTTCTCCTGTCTCCAGGTGGGAGACCAGTTGTTCCCAAGCTCCAGGACATCGCAGTCACCTGGTGATCTTTAAAAACTCCTAGCTGGGTGTTGGTGACTCAAGCCTGTAATCCTAGCTACTCAGGAGGCAGAGATCAGGAGGATTGTGGTTCAAGGCTAGCCTGGGCAAACAGTTCATGAGACTTTATCTGGAAAAAAACATCCAACACAAAACAAGGCTGGCAGAGTGACTTAAGTGGTAGAGCACCTGCCTAGCAAGTGAGGCCCTGCGCTCAGACCCCAGGTACCATCAAAAAAAAAAAAAAGAAAAGAAAAACTCTGGTGCTTAGACCAGTGAAGTTGCATCTCTGGAGCCTTAGTTTTTGAGGCTCCCAAGTTTGCAAACCTGATTTAAGCTTCAGCTTTCTCCTGAGTCAAGTACTAGGCCCTCAGGAGGGCTGTCAAATTAGGGAAGAACCAGAAGTGAACGCAGAACAGTCTTAGTTGTAACAGTGCTCAAAGAGCCCATTACACAACATGGGACACTTGCATTCTTTTGACTTACGGTTATAGACAGGGCCCGAGGAGTTTAGTTACCTGCCTTGGCCACACAGCTAATGGGAGCCAGAGCCCAAATTCTAACACTGCTCTGGCTCCAGGGCCTCAGCTCTGTCTCTATGCTGTGCCACCTCTTGGGCGTGGCAGACAGATGAGCAGAAACTGAACAAGCATCAAAACTGTCAGTTCAATGCAGGATAAAAGCAAGATTGCCAACAATTAAAACTACAGCCAGAAGTGAGTCAAAGTCAAAAATAATCCAGCTGGATATAGATGAAGTAAAACTGGCCACTTAATCATTTTTGAAGGTGGGTGGTGGGTATGCAGGGTTGGTGATACTATCTGTCCTGCCTACTTTTGTTCTCTGAAACGTTCCATAATAGAACATTTAAAAATCTCCACCTGGACTAGCGGAATGGCTCAAGTGGTAGAGTGCCTGCCCACAAGCGTGAGGCCCTGAGTTCAAACCCTAGTACCATCTAAAATAAATAAATGAAATAAAAACGAATAAATAAAAATCTATACTCAATTCATAGAAACCTGTTTCCTATGCTACAGGCATTTAGCTGAGTTCTTCTTTCCCAGACACTAGCTGTGTCAACTTGGGCAAATGGCCCCCTTCCTCTTTTCCAGTCCAGCAGATGTTTAGGTGACCTGGGCAATCTGGCTGGTACAGCAGCCCCAGCACCTGCCCCGCAGCACACTGACTCTACCTCACTGCCCACCACCTCTCATGCCTCCTAATGGAGGGGATGCTCAGGAACATCCTTGAAAGTATATGCACATCTATATGGTGCTTCTTTTATCATTACTACCAGCCATAAGCAGTGATGAACAAGCAGGGCCTCAGAGTATCTATGTAGTACAGGCAGAGCCATGTGGAAGGGCTATCCAAACCTCAATATGAACCAAAAGGAAAACCCCTCCTTTCTCCTGCCAAGTTTTGGAGGTAATCAACCTATTTCATAAAACTCCTTCCAATCCTTGGTCTGATTTCATATTTGTTCACTTAAAGCCCTGCAAGGACCTTATGTATCCTAGACCTGATACATAATAGGTTTTGAAAAGTATTTATGGAATGATTGAATCAGATTCAGATTTTGTGGTAAACCCCAAAACAAAGGGAGCTTTCACCACAAGGGGGCACCAGAGCTCACCATGACTGTATTCTAAAAGATGTTCAAAATTGTGCTATTTTTCTTCCACGTAGAAGACACAAGTAGGCCAAGATTCTTCAGTCTACCACAAGTAAAAATTAGCTGGTCCCTGCTGGGTACCAGTGGCTAATGCTGGTAATCCTAGCTACCTGGGAGGCTGAGATTGGAAGAATCGAAGTTTGAGGTCAGCCCCATCAAATAGTTCACAAGACCATCTCCAAAATAACCACCGCAAAACAGACTGGAGGCATGGCTCAAGCAGTAGAGCACCTGCTTTGCAAGTGTGAAGTTCTGAGTTCAAACCCCAGTTACACACACACACACACACACACATACACACACACACAAATTAGCTGGTCCCTAATGTCATTAATAAAGCAGATCGGGAGGTGGGGGTGTAGCTCAGTGGTAGAGTGCTTACCTAGTATGTACAAGGGCCAGGTTCCAGTCCCAGCGCCATTAAAAAAAGGAAGAGGGAGAGAGAGAGAAAGGAGATCTGGATAACCACAGTGCAATGATCAAATACAGGAAATTCAATGTTACTATACTATTATGTAACACATAATCTAGACTCAAGTGTCACCAACCACCCCATCGTTGTCTTTTACAACAACCTTCCCTCCCCAGGAGGGACCCTGTACTGCATTCAGGGGTCAGGCTTCCAGTTGTCTTCAACCTGGAACATTCCACTAGCCTTCATCTTTCATGACATGGACATTTTGAGGAGTATGAGTCAGTTGTTTTGTAACAGGTCTGTCCCTTACTTTGGACTTGTCTGATATTTCTTCATGATTAAACTTAGGTTACATAAAACATTTTAAAAATATCACTTTCATGTTCTAACTACTTTCAATGTTTTGCTTAATTTAACTCAGGTCACCAGCACCACCCACGTTCAACCCGCAGAGACACAGATGCGCTGGGTAAATGAAGCCAGAAATGTAAGGTCTGGATGTTTGTCACTGTACAAACAGCCTTAATGCACTTTCCTATAATAGGCAGGGCTGGAGGAAAGTAGATAGCTCCAAGGGTAAATCTAGTTTTCAGCCTTACAGAACTAAATAATCAGTCATTTCCAATCAACTGGCAAAGGATTATTGGCAAATATGATTGAGCTGGAACAACTAGGTGATTGTTTTGTAAAAAAAAACAAACAAACTTTCTTTTACAGACTATATTAAAATGGCAAATGGAAGAAAGAATTACCTGTGAAAGATCATACTTGTACGATGTGTATGGTATACTATACTAGCACATTCCAGTGGACATAAGCAAATAAATTCCCCCCTGGGAGGATATTTAGAAACTGCCAACAGTTTCTGGGCAGAGGAATTTGATGGAAATTACAATCTTAATTCTTATTTTCCACATTCTCATACTGTTTGAAGTTTTTTTGTTTTTTGCAGTGCTGGAGTTTGAACTCAGGGTCTCACACTTGCTAGGCAGGTGCTCTACCACTTGAGCCACTCCACCAGCCCTTTTTTGTGTTAGGATGAGCAGCCAGTGCCCAGTTGAAGTTTTCTGGGTTTTGTTTTTATTATCTGTGTATCACCTTTGTAAATTGGCCATTCTTGGTTTCTTCTGTTGGAGTTCGGAAAATGATACCCCAAATATTCTGCTTTGGACTTAAAACTGAGAACACCTGGGAGCCCCAATGCAAGGAAGGACTCTCTCTAAGTCCTTCATCTACCAACCAAAAGGAGTGTAAGTGCCAGGGAATCTTGCTGAAATGTCACTCACCAAGGAAGATTCAACTCTCCCCAAAAGAAGACTGAGAGCAATTCCACCCAGGCCACTCTTCCTAGCTCATTCTCTCTCCTAAAATCCACTAACTATCCTTTGAAACAGCCTAGAGCCTCCACTTCCCTCTCCCTCTGGAGAGTATGCAAGCCTCAGCATCCAGCCCTGCCTGGAGTTTCCTATTTTGCATGGCTCCCATGCATCTGTGTACGTTAATAAATAATGTTCTTTTTCTTTTGTTCATCTTTCTACTGCCAGTTTGTTTCAGCAGACTCCATTACCAAACCTTCAGAGGCAAGTTTGAAGTTCCCTGTACATCTTTATATTGGCTACATACCTTTACTCTCCAAAAAAAATTCCTCAATGTTTAAGTGTCTGCAATTGTTGATAGAATACTATAAAGAATACTATGAAGATGCATGTTAACAAACTATAAAACAATGTTTTGTTACAAATTAAGTAAATAAAGGAATTCTAAAACAGTATATGCTTACAATAAATATAAATTAATAGTTTTCACACATAGAAAAATAGGACATACACCAAATGAAAGTTAAATTTTAAAAAGGATTATTTCTATTTTTCCTAATGATACAGTAAAAATGCATATATATATATATATATATATATATATATATATATATATATAATATTTAAAAATATATGCAGTGAAACTCTAAATGTCCTGTCTAGGACAAGTATGAGAATCTGGAGTTGTACTTTTCTTTGTACCCCACCTCAGTCAAGGGAGCCTGGCCTCCCTCTCCGAGGTGTGTCTTATGAAGCTGTCAAGGAGAAAGGACTCCCATTACTTGCACATCTGGCAAGGGTAGAAGTAAGTTCTGCACTGGTAGATAAAACTTAAATGCTTACACAGTATCTAAAAATGCAGTAACAGTACTTTTCCAACAGTCCATGGGTACATGAGGACTCTCAAAGCCCTTTTTAAAATAAATGAGAATTTTCCCAACATGAATGTGAGAATAAGGTTTCTTGCTTCACAATGTATAAGAACAGAAGCAGCTTACTATTTCAGGAAATAGGAAACCCAAATTTGTGCCTGGGTTCTATACTATGGTGTGACCTTGGAGCAGGTAACTTATTTACTGAGCCAGAAAATGGGAACCACTCCCACCAATTGTTTAGTTCTCATTAGAATGACACAGCAGAGACTGGCATTTGTGAGTCATGAAAAGCTGAGCCAGGCGCGGTGCATATCTGAAGTCCTAGCTACTTAGGAGGTGGAGGCAGGAAGATAGGCTCGCCTAAGCAACATAGGAAAACCCTGTCTCAAAACAACAAAAAGTGGATTTCTTGGGCCAAGACCTCCAACATGAGTGTCCCACGTAGTTCTTGGTACAAAGCACCTTGAACTTTTGTGCCTAATGTGACACAAAAATCAGGCAGTGTCCTCGGCTCTACACTCATCCTGCAGGTTGCTGAGACACTTCAAGTACACAGAATGGCTTCCCTACATAAAGTCCTGACTCCACTAAATGGCCGCCACAGCGTTGTGAAGCAGGGCAGCGAAGAATCCAATGCAGAAAATACCAGAAATGGGCTGAGGGCATAGCTCAGAGCACATGTCAGTATGCGTGAGCCCTGGGTGCCATCCCCAGTACCACAGGGGGGCAGAGGAGGAGGGAAGGGACAAACACCAGAAATGGAACTGTCACCGCCCAAGCTCCTGGGGCCCCCGGGTGGCCCTTACCGATGGTGGTCTCACAGAACTTCTCTGCAGCCACCTCGCTGGCGATGTTGGCACCCATGAGCACACTGATGTCAATGCCCATCTTCTCCCGGAGGATGTCGGAAATAAGCTTCAGCCCCTCGGGGCCCTCATCTATGCCCTACAAGGATGTTGAGAAGTTGGAAGGTGATCACCAAATCAAAGAGGCTGCTTCATAAGTAATCTAGATTAGATATCCAACGGCACACACAACTTGAAAAATCTCTTACTTACAAGAGAGATCATATATAGTACATAGGTACTGCTTAAGTAATAATAAAATGAAGAGTAAATAAGCATGTACCTACCATTCAAATTAAGCAGAACATGACACACACACACACACACACACACACACACACACACACAAGCACAGAAATATCACCCAAATCCTGGAAGTTCCCAGTGTCTCTCCCCAAGTTCTTCCTCCTTGTTCCCAAGCTGAGCCACTGTTCTGAATGCTGCAAGCTTTACTCCCTTACTTTTCGTCTTCATTTTGTCACATGTAACTGTCCCTAAACAATGTTTGGTCATTAAGCCCATTTCTGAAAGTCTCTAAATGGAACTGCACCATTTATCTGGATGGTCTGTTCTGTGCTACATCACTGTTCTAGAGTTCACCCACATGCTGTAGGAACATTCTAGTTCATTTCTGCTCACTGAAATTATCTGTCATTTGTATGTTCCATCCGTTTGACATGTAGACTGCTCCAGTTCGCTTCACAAACTTTCACCTCTGCACACTCTGCACACTCTAGGAGGTTCCTAGCCTTTTTTTTTTTTTTTATATGGATCCACCCCTAGCAATGTAGTGAAATTTATGGAGTTATTTTCAGAATTCCATATGCATAAAATAAAAGATCCCTTAGGAAGCAGATTAAATAAAGAAGATGTGCATTCCAGTTAAGAGGTTAAAATGAATAAACACACGGGGATTTTCCTCCACAGTCAAGTGCATGGACCTCTGGAGGGTGGGCTAAGGACTTCTGATTTAAAAAGCCCCACTTCAGGGGCTTCACCCAGTAGTGCAGGCTGACAGTGATTAGCATCCTGGCCAATGCAAACCACTGAGGCCAGCCATCGGTGGCTCACGCCTGAATCCTAGCTACTCAGGAGGCAGAGAACAGGAGGATAGAGGACCGAAGCCAACCTGGGCAAATAGTTCGGGAGACCCTATCTCGAAAAATCTCTTCACAGATCCTGTGGCTCAAGGTGTAGGCCCTGAATTCAAGCCCCAGTACCACAAAAAACAAAACAAAACAAAAAAAAAACATTGTGGACGTCAGGTGCTGGCTAGATGAGTAGGCAGCATTGGTGCTATCTTCTTGGCCTTGCTGGGGCTAACCTGCTGCAGCAGAAAACAGCCCACTCCTAAACTTGACCTGAACTAGGCTTGTGGAATGTATGTTTTAAATTACCTTCCAGACATCCTTAAAAACACAAACAAAATCCGAAACTCTAACCCCATGTCCCACCAGCTCTCCATTGCAGGCAGACGGGAGAGGAAGTGAACTTTCCAGGATGGGCTTCCTGCATACTTGGCTCAGGACTCACCTTGATGAGGGTGATGCCCAGGGCTTTCTTGGGCACCTGGCCGGTGATCTCATTGCAGATCCTGTGGATGAACTGGTGGGGGATGACAAACACTAGCAGATCTGCGTCCTGCACGGCTTCACTGAGATTGGAGACAGCCACCTGCAACCGTGAGGGGAAACAGACACACCTGTATCCATCTCTGACACTTTACTCCTTTACCCCTTTAGTTGGCGAGGGGGACTGCCATAACACTCTACTTTAGGGGTGCCCTCATTCCCCTGTTTTCTAGGAAAAGGGCCCCAACATTTCCTTCCATTTTTTTGGGACAGGGTCTTGCTGTGTAGCCCAGCCTCAAACCTCTCCAAGTGCTGGGATTACAGGTATGTACCATGAAAACAGCTCCCACATTTCTTTTATAAGCTATTGCTTCACTGAGCCCTGCAGTTTGGGTAGAAGTGACCCCTCCCTCATCCCAGGGATGGTCTGTAACTTTTTCAAACCAATGGGTACATCAAACAAGCAGAGCCAACAAGCTGGCAGATGTTTGAGGGGGCTTGTGGGAAATGGATGCTTCTTTACTCTTCAGCAGTGGTTATGGGTCTCTTCCTTAAACAGTGTAGATTGGTGGTGTGAAGTCTAGAACTACTGCAACCATTTTAGAAATGTGTGAGGAAAACCAGGTGCCAGTGACTGACGCCTATAATCCTATCTACTTGGGAGCTGAGATTGGAAGGATAGAGACTCGAAGCCAGCCCAGGCAAATAGTTCATGAGACCTCCATCTCCAAAATAACCACAGCAAAGTGGACTGGAGGTGTGACTCAAGCAGTAAAGCACCTATTTTGCAAGTGTGAAGCCCTGAGTTCAAACCTCAGTCCCACCAAAAAAAAAAAAAAAAACCCAAAGAAATGTGTGGGGAGAACCTATGCCAGAGGCTCCTATGTGGATGAAGCCAACTGTGGAAGGCAGAGGAAAAAGCAGGATCTCACTGACTTCATTACCACAATGCACCTGAATCCAGCTCTTCCTGGATGTTTTGGTTACAGGAACCCAATCGTTCTCTATCTTAGCTTACGCTGGTTTGATGGCAGCAGAGTCATTCCCCACAGAAGCCTAGCACTGCCTCCCTCTCTTCACATGCCAGAGGCAGGGGAAGCCTGTGTTTCTCTCCCAAAGAACTCTCCAGATCAGTAATCTAGTTGGGGGACCGATGACAGCAAGGATTTATTACCAATGTTGGGGCTCAGAAAATGATGCCCCAGCCGGGCACTGGTGGCTCATGTCTGTAATCCTAGCTACTTAGGAGGCAGAGACCAGGAGCATTGCATGGTTCAAAGCCAGTCCTGAGCAAATAATTCATGAGACTGGCGAAGTGGATTAAGTGGTAGAATGCCTGCCTAGCAAGCTGGAGGCCCTGAGTTCAAACCCCAGTACCACCCAAAAAAACAAAGAAAAAGAAAAAAGAAAAAATGATGTCCCAAAGCAAAGCCCTCAGTTTCTCCCTGACCTTCTCCTGCTCTGTCTCTCACACCTCCTTCCTCCCCACCATAGAAACTAGAATTTCCCTTCCTCAAAACAAGCAGAGAAACCAGAGCCCCCTTTGCCCAAAGCCAGCCATAAAACCTAAAAAGATTGCTCTGACTTTCCCCTGCCCCTGCCTCACACACCACCTTTCTGTGGAGGAGCTGACCATAAGGAAATTCTCTAATCTACCTTGTCTGATAGTAGGGCTTAAGACCCCTATTCCGGAAAGTTTCCTGCTCCGTACCAGACAAGGAGAACCGCACTGTGAGGGCAAAGAGGACTCTGAGCAGGAAGCCTTGCTGGCCAGGAGGTCATGGTCATTTTTCACCACTGGATCATATTCTGTCCAATCTTATCTCCATATGGCTGCCCTGGCTTCGCTGAGCCTTAGCATGAAAGGACAGTCCACCCTGGATCTCATGTCACCTAAAACACGCTCAATAAATGTGCTATGCTTTCCTCGCTAACCTTTCTGTTACAGGAATGCTGGCCGTGATCTTAATGCTGGACAGGAAGGGACTGCCCTGCATTTTGCCCCTGTACCAGCGGTCCACCATCTTTTACTAGCCCTACTGCCCTTGGAGTTTGCACTCCTCCCACAAAGCAGTTTCTTACTCTGTGCCATTAACCTCCCTGTGCCTGTACATACTCCACCTGCTTGTCCCTCACTGATGAAGCTCACTGTGCTCTCAGGCCCTTGCCTGTGGCTCCCCCACCCCCACCTGTGTAACAACTCTGAGCCCTCATATTCCTAGAATTACCACCCTTGCTCAGGCAGAAGGTTACACTCCCTGCTCTGCTTCTCCAGTGGAGCCTGGCAGGCTGGATTTTAAGTGAGCCTTTCTACATCTCTGGATCTACTGTTTATTTCTTTACCTATCACCCTCTAAAACATATACCCTTCCCTTTCCTCCTTTTCAGTGCATTTTTAACATGGTGAAATGGAAAAGAATCAAAGAAGCGATGTAGGTTTCAAAATAATTATCAATGAGCAGGGAACCAGTGGCTCACACCTGTATTCCTAGCTACTCAGGAGGAAGAGATCAGGTGGTTCATGGTTTGAAACCAGCCTGGGCAAATAGTTTTCAAGACCCTATCTTTAAAAAACTCTTCACAAAAAAGCACTGGTGGAATGGCTCAAGGTGAAGGCCCTGGAGTTTAAGCCACAGTACCACAAAAATAAATAAATAAATAATCAATGGCAGGGGTTTGAAACTACAAATATCTTAGCAAATGAAAGAGATTATCATCAGAAAAAAACCTACATCCATAAATCTTACCATATCCTTTTTATACCAATATCACAACAATGATAATCCAAAGAAGAGATACAAATGTCCTCATTTTTTTTTTCTTGGCAGTACTGAGGTTTAAACTCAGGGCCTCCAGCTTGCTAGGCTGGCACTCTACCACAGGACCACACTCTGATTTGTTCTCCTTCACCTATCCCTGGCATTTATTCAAACAACAAATAATGCTAAGCACTATTCTAGGTGCTGAGGAAACACCAGTGAAAGCAAACCTATGCAAGAAACCATATCCTAAGAGTTAGCAGGACAGAAAAAAGTAAAAATTGGACTTTAAATTAAAGATGTTTGTGTTCAAAGGACACTCTAAAGCAAGTGACAAGACAACCCATAGCAGAAGATATTTGTGAATCATATCTGAAAGAGGGCTTGTGTCTAGAATATATAAAGAATTCTTAAAACTGCCAGGTGGCTCACTCCTCTAGCTACTTGGGAGGATGAAATTGGGAGGATCAAGGTTCGAGGCCAGTCCAGGCAAATAGTTTGCGAGACCCCACCTCCAAAATAACCACAGCAAAAACTGGAGTTGTGACTCAAGTGGTAGAGCACCTGCTTTGCATGCATGAAACCCTGAGTTTAAACCCCAGAAACACCAAAAAACAAACAAAAAGGCCAACAAGCACTTAGAAAGATGCTTGTTAGCTATCAGGCAAATGAAAATCAAACCAATAGGAAATAATGGGCGTTACACCCATTAGGATGGCCAGGATTAAAAAGTCAGATAGGGCCAGGCCTGGTTAGTACACGTCTATAATCCCAGCACTCAGGAGGCTGAGGTAGATGGTTTGTGAGTTGGGAAGTCAGGCTGAGCTGTAAAGCAAGACTTTATCTCACAAAACAAAAGCCAACAATAACAACAACCAAAATGTATTAGTGTGAACTATCCAAACACCCGTCAAGTAACAAATGATGGACGAATTTTTTACAACTGCACTATGATGGCTGTAGTGCACAACCCAGAATGTGTGTGTTGGAAGCTGGAGCCCCAAGCAGTGTTGTTGGGAGGTGGGGCCTGGTGGGAGGTGACTGGGTCATGGCATAGACCCCCACACATGACTGATGACATTATTGTGAGAGTGGGCTGGGTATTATGAAAGAGGGCTGTTCCGAAGCGAGCCCACCCTCATGCTCTGTCTAATCGCACACACTGCACTCACTCGCCCTTTCCCTTTCTGACATGTTGGGAGGCAGGACGCTGCTGCTGCCCTGCTTTGGACTTCCTAGCCTCCAGAACCGTAAGCGAAGGACATCTCTTTCCTCTGTCCATTGATGAGTCTGCAGCATTCTGTTGCAGCAACAGGAAATGGACTAAGACACATACACATAGTGCATAATGGACAGGTGCCATGACACACATAACCTTGAAAATGCACCAAATGCGGAAGACTACATATTATGTGATGTCACTTATACAAAGGGTTCAGAATAGGCAAGTTGGGCTGGGTATGTAGCTCAGTGTAAAACGCTTGCCTAGCATGTGTAAGGACCTAGGTTTGCTTCCCAACACCACAAAATAAAAAAACAAAAACAAAAACAAATCTACAGAAATAGAAATATACTTGTTGCCCAGGTTTGGGGAGCAACAGGGGAAAACTGGAGGACTTAATAAAGGGTACATATTTTCTTTTTGGGTTGATAAAAATGTTTGAAAATTGATTATGGTGATGGTTGTACGACTATATGAATATACTAAAAATCACTGAATTGTGTGGCCTGTAGACTAAAGCTCAGTAAAGCAGGGCTTTTTAAATTTATTTTTTGGCAGTACTGGGGTTTGAACTCAGGGCTTCAAGCTTGCTAGGCAGGTGCTCTATCACATCCCCTTTTCCAGCCCTTTTTTGCTTTAGGTTATTTTTCAAATTAGGGTCTTAGGCTTTTAGCTGAAGCCATCCTCGAGCCACGATTTCCTCCCCTAACCTCTAGAGTAGCTGGGATCACAAGCACCTGCCACCTTGCTCCACTTTGTTTATTGAGATGGGGTCTCAAGAACTTTTTGCCAGGCTGGCCTCTCAATCTCTACTTCTCGAGCAGCTGGGATTACAAGTGTGAGCCACTGCTAGTAAAGCAGTTCTTAAAAGAGGCTGGCAGAACTCAGAGAGTGAAGATGAGACTAAGACAACTGAATCTCATGGAGAAGGCTGTGATTATAATCCTGGTGTCAAGTGGGGCTGGCTGAAGCTGGAGGGAAAAGAAGAACCTCTATCTGGATGAACTCTAAGTAAACACAGGCTTTGGATGAAGAGCTATAAAATAGGACCAGCAATTTTTATCTTGCAATGACAGGAAATAATAAGTGTTCTTTCCATTCAGGTCTAAGAGAAAATCATAGACTTAGGCCTGCTTTGAGTGAGCTGTCAATGACATGGTGAAGTTCTGTCAAGAAGGTCTGGGGGCCAGGCACCAGTGTCTCACACCTGTAATCCTAGCTACTCAGGAGACAGAGATCAGGAGGATCATGGTTCTAAGCCAGTCCAGGGAAATAGTTCTCCAGACTCTATCTCAAAAAAACCTTCACAAAAAAGGGCTGGTGGAGTGGCTCAAGGTGTAGCCCCTGAGTTCAAAACCTAGTTACACACACACACACACACACACACACACACACACACACAAAAGGAAGGTTCTTAAGGGAAGCAAAGTTACATTACAAGTATGGACCAGTTCTGATATAAATGAGGAAAGTGAAGCACAAAAGAACTTTCTCCTAAACAGATGGATTAATGGATTAGAGATGCCCCTGATGCCCTCAGTGGCAGCCTCTCTTATTCTTTCCATCAGTTATTTGAACAACTTAACTTTCAAATTTACAGTCCTCCTCCCCCACACAGGCACCAGCATTGACTTAGGGGAAATGTGGTTTGTGCTCATTCAATGACACAAAGACACAAAGAACACCATTAATGTCTAGAAAGTAAGATTCAACAAACTCAACAATGAGCCCACTGATGACAAATCCCAAGGTCAACCCTGGCCATGCAGCCTTGACACAGCTTGTCCATCCGCCTGAGCCTTGGTTTCTTCCCCTGTACAAGGATAACATCAGCACAGGAAAATAGCATGGACCTACAGGTTGTTGAGAGGGAATGAGACAATGTATGTAGTGCTTAGCATGGTGCTTCATGCTAATGACTACTGTACAATTAAAAGCTGAATAAAAAGGGATGGGGGTATAGCTGAGTGCCTGCCTAGTATGTGCAAGGCCCAGGGTTCAGTTTCCAGTGTGGGGGTGGGGCAGAAAGCTGGGCCTTGGCATCTCCAAACTTCCCCACATTTACTGGTTTTCAAACAGGCCTCCTTGCTCATTCCTCCAAAAAGGCAGTGCCAGCCTATTCCTCTTTCTGTCCCCAGCACACAGCCCTGCACACAGTCACAGGACATGCTCAGGGAGCCTGGGTGAGTGCACACATGCAGCAAAGGGATCTTGCTACAAAGGAGATGAGTTTTTCAGGTAAGCCCAGGGAATCAGGAAGCCACAGTTGTCTGGTTTTCAAACAGACTATTATAGAAAGCCACTGAGGGGTGAACGTGGCAGCACATGAAGTTTATAAACTCTACCCACACAAGCAGCAAGGTACACACTCTGTTCTCTCCCACGCCCATTTCTCTCTACCCCTGCAAATCAGAAGGAGGCCAGGCAATAACCTATGTTTTTCTCTCCAAGACCTAAGAAGCTTGAATTTCAAACTGTTAGTCTTACAATTTTCCACTGTCTTCTATCTCCATCTGTAAGTTAGGCCTTGATCCTGACTTTAATTACAGGCCAGGGCATTAGCTGGTCTGGAGAGCTGATCAAAGTCACATGCACTGAGAGAAGGCACATCAGAAGCCACTTAGAGGAACACAAGCAGGGAAGGCAGTTGTTAGTTCCAGCTCTCATGTGACCCACACTCTGAATGCCAAGGAAGAAGCCTGATAACAAAAAAAAAAGCTCATATGTTGACATCCAAGTCCCCAGCACTTCAGAATGTGACTGTATTTTGTAACAGTGTCTTTAAAGAGGAAATTAACTAAAACCAATGTCAATGGGGTACCCTGATCCAATATGACTGCTATCCCCATAAGAGGTAGTCATGACACAGTTGGGTTCAGAGAAAGACTGTAAGAAGATATGGGGAGATACCCATCTACAAGCTAAGGGAGGCTTCCAAAGAAACAACCCTAACACTCGAGCTCATATTTTAAGCCTCCAGAATTGTAAAAAACAATATATCTGTTATTTAAACCATGCAGCCCATGGCACTTAATTTACAGCAGTCCTAGAAAATTAATTATGAAGTATTTTCAGAGTCAGGAAAACCAGAACATGCCAGTAACTGGCATAGAGAAGAACTGGAGGAAGGAAAGCTGCTACCTTCAGCCATTCGTGACCTATAGAGTGAGCCAAATATACCTTTCATCTCACAGTCTTACCACATTTTCTGGCAGCTTGTGTCCAGGGAGATATTTTACATTTTCATGGTCATTATTTATGATGTCTGTCAGTTTTCTCCCATTGACTGTTTCTTCAAAAACCCACATCTTGACAGTAGAGGCAAACTTCTGCAGTTTCTTGACATTATTACCAATTATTTTTGCAACAGCTGAACCCCTACAAAAGATATCATGGAGAAGAAAAAAATTAAGTTCACTTGGGCAGAAAAGAAAACGTATTCAATTAAAATTCAGAAGACCTGTGTTTCAATTCTGATTCAAGCACTGAGTGTGCTCAAGAAGAGATGTATATTAGCCTTGAGTCACTTGAAACTTACTTGTTCTCACCTGGAAAACCCCACAATTTGGTACAAAGTCAAAAAAGCACCACCCCTTGAAACTAGTAAGAATCAGCCTACTTCATGACAGTGTCACAAAAAGAAGAGAAACTCACCTAAAAGCACAAAAATAATACTAAGGGTTTTCCAAGCCACCAAGGAAACTAAGTTATATTTCAAATCCATCAAGGAAATTAAATTGTAGCTACTGTAAAATAAACTGTGTTCTGACAAACTGAAGCAGGCCCAAGACAGAATCATCATCAGAAAGACAAGAACCTGAGTGGAGTTCAGAAACGAATCAAAGAGCACTGGACCCAGGTCCCCAAGTACCTGCACCACCCACTGCATCCAGGCAACCTCGAGTCTCCAACCTCCTATTTCTGCATCTCTATTTAGGTAACAAGTTCTGGTACAGTCTCTCCTAAAGCGTCAGGGAAGTGAATAAACCCTGACTGGTTCACGCCAGTCCTGGACAGCATGGCTGTGTAGCAGGGGTCATCCTGGCCCTGGTGCCCTCTGCAGTCTCAAAGAATCCACTGAGCGGGCAGCAGTGGACACGAGCTGAGCCAGTAAGTTTCCACCCGCAGACTCTGAGTTGAGAAACAGCTTGTTTCTTAGACAACTTTCCCAGTGCAAGCAACAAACGAAAGCATGTTAGGGCGCCTGTTGTTTTCTAATAATTAGTCTCGTGACGACTGAGACAGAGTGGGGGTGACAATGGGGAGGGGCAGTTAAATGGAGGTAGAACGTAATGGAGATGTTCATCATCCAATTTGTCCCAACATTTCAATCTGTGTGCTTTGACAACTACAAAAGTTGTAATTACTTCTGCTTTCCTGAGGTAGGATAAACTAAACCAGTGATCTTAACTTTGGCTACACACCAGAATTACCTGGGAGGTTTGAAAGTTCTGAGTCTCAGGCATGAGATTGGCACCTCTAGGGTGTCATTTTTGAAGCCACCAGTGACTTGATGTGCAGCAAGGGCTGAAAACTGCTGCTCTTCACAATGACCTAGAACTCTCATCCCCTCAACCTGCCAAAAGAATGGCTGTGAATGTCAAGGCTAGGTAGCTGTGCCTTATCAATGCCAGCAGGACAGCTCATTAGACGAACACCCATAAATCCAATTCTCCTCCTGACACTTTGTAGACAGGAGGCCAGGAGCCTCCCCTCCCCATCGCTATCACCAGTTCCTTAATCTTGGAAGGGCTGTTCAGGTACTCACAGGAAGGAAATAGCTCATGTATAGAGCTCCCTGGCATCAAGTAACTTCCACAAGGCTAACAGAACACATGGATTGTGGGGATCTGGCACCCATTGGTGGGGGCTATAAGGTACTAGTAATCCAAGTCTAGCAAATCAAGTAGGAAAATAGATCAGAAGGAAGGCTGGGGCACAACTCAAGTGGTAGAGCACTTGCCTAGCATGTGTGAGATCCTGGGTTCAATCCCCAGCACCAAAAATAAATAGAGAGATGCTAGGTAGATAGATAGATAAAATAAAAAACAAAAAAGATCAAAGTACTGTCTGCAGTCCTCAAGGGTGGTTTGTTTATGATTGGCATGTTGGGGTCTCACAGTCACACTGATGGGCTCCCCAGCTTTCAGGGGTTGCTGTGACACTGTACAAGCACAGTCAGCATGGGTCGTTCTTCCCTGGGCCAAGGGCATGAGCAGCTCTTCCATCTAAAAATAAAGAGTAGGGCAGATGGCCTGTAAGGTCCTTTTCAGGTCTTGATAGAATCCAGTGCTTCCCAAAGTGAGAAATGGCAGGCAGGGGTACCCCAAAGGCTGAGTGCTGCACTCACACAGCACCAAACAACACTAACTCACTCGTGCCCTTGTCAGCCCCCTGGTCCAGAGAGCTTGCGTGCCCTGTGTGTGTTGCCATCAATCAGCATGTGCCATTGTGCTTGGTCACAAAGTAGGGAGAGGCCTCTCTCAGCCATGGCAGGTAGTAACATATGGCAAGAATTCTGTTTTCATGCTACTGGGTTTTGTTGTTGCCTCTCTTTGTGGTATTTACTGTAGTGCTCTAAAGCCCTCTTTTAAAGAAACCTCTAAAGAAGGAACAGCAAGCAAATAACTCTTCAGGTATGCAAGCATAAGGATGGGTTAACCCTGTCAGGATTCTGACCTTGCCTCAGGGGTGGCCCCCAGGTAGGCATGACCTAGGGAGGGGTTGAGGAGCCTTCCAGGAAGGCCTTTGGAGCCAGGGTCAGTAACTAGGTACTGGCAGAACTGGGATACACTCAGGTCAGCTAATAGCCAGTCCTGGGTCTTTACACTCATGTATAAAATCACCCTTATCCTTGCAATATACCTTAACCTTCAAGCCTCAGAGTACACATTGGTTCACTTCTGCAATGTCATGCAAACAAAATTGAAGAGGGATTGGGTGGGTATTTGATATAAGAACTCACGTAATCTTTATAGCAGTCTACAAGAGAGGCACACGTTATCACTATTTTACAAAATAAAGAAACAGAAGCTCAGAGAGCATAAATGTTACCAATGTTACACTGTGCATCTAGAGCCAGGAGTTCAAACCAGATCTGTCTGTTTCCAAAACCTGCACTTTCTGCCCTGTTGTAAAGTAAAATCATTTATTAACAATTCAGATGGAGCATTTGTGAAAACAGACCCCGTTCTCGGTGTAAGAGATATAAGGGAATAAAAGCAGACAACTCACTGCTCTCGTGGAGCTTAGAAACTGATAAATGAAAAATGAGGATGTTCCAGCCCAGTGACCAGGTGGTCAAGGAGGCATGGCACAGTGACAATGACATTTGTCAGGTATTCAGGGAAAGCTGCGAAGAATATGGCTAGGGCTAAACTTATAAAGGCTGGGTAGATAAGGGGGGGGGGCAGGAAGAGTGGAAAAGAGGAGGGAAAGAAAGAATAGGATTGCAGGGGAAGAAGGGGAAGGTGGAGACAAAGCCCAACAGATTTTCAAAGGTCCATGCCCTTCTTAGGGTGCAAAACCACGTGATGCCAGAAAGAACCCTTCAGTCCATCTCTTCTTTTACCAAGGAGGAAACTGAAGTCCAGGGAGAATTAGCAAGGGCTCAGCCAGATTCCAAATCCATGGAATCTGGGAGATAGGGATCTCTCCCAGAGCTGATCTGGGATATGGTTCCATGGACAAGAGAAGAGGGTAGTCAATTTTGGGTTAAATAACAGATAAGAGCAATACATGAAAGTAAAAAGAATTATGAATAGTCTCACCACCCAGGCAGAACCACTGTTAACATCTTGCGTAATTTTCTTCAGTTAAAGGACTTTTAAAGTACAATCAAATGCCAGAGCTCTTGATGCAAATGCAAAAAATGAAATATTTAAAAACTAGATTTAACTTGGTGAATGTTTATTCAATCTCTGGATAGAGAGGCTTTCTAAGTTTAAAATCAAGCGAGAAGCCACAGAGGGGGAAAAAAAATCAATTTGAACATCTTCACTTAAAGAAAAAGAGGGAGATGAGAAAGACCTGTCTACTGCAGAGGGAAATGCTTAGCATAGAATGATGCACTGAAAAAGACAGGAGGCAGGAGGCAGTCAGGTGATAGATAATGGCTCATGCCTATATTCTAACTACTTGGGAGACTGAGATCGAGAAGAGCGAGGTTTGAGGCCAGCCCAGAAAAATAGTTCATGAGACCCCCTCGTCTCCAAAATAACCAGAGCAAAAAATGCACTGGAGGTATAGCTCAAACAGTAAAGCAACTGCTTTGCAAGTGTGAAGCCCTGAGTTCAAAACCCAGTTCCAACAACAACAACAACAACAACAAAAAGGCAGGAGGCAAAATTAACAAATGCACAACCTCACACTAACTAGGATGGTTACTACCAAATCACAGACAATAACAAGTGTGGCCAAGGCTGAGGATGTGGAGAAACATGAAATCTTTAGGTACTGTTTCAGGGTCATAAAGTGCTACAGTGCTATAGGTCCTCAAAAACTAAAGATGGAATTACCATAGATCGAGCAACCCCACCACTGGGTGTGGACCAGGGTCTCAACCAGATATGGTACCCATATTCATAGCAGCATTATTCACAATAGTAACCCAAGTCCATCGACTGACAGTGCACAAACAGAATGTGGTACATTCAGTCTTAAACAAGAAATTCTAACACGTACTGCAATAGATATATGAGCTTTGAAGACATCATGCTAAATGAAATAAGCAGACTCAGATGGGCAAGTAATGCAGCTTCCACTTATATGACCACCTATTTGAAGTCCCAGAGGAGTCAAATCATAGAGACAGAGAGTAGAAGGGTGGCTGCTAGGGGCAGGAGGGAGAGTGGCATGAGAATTGTTTAATGAACACTCAGCTTCAGTGTTGCCAGAGGAAGAGAGTTCTAGAGACTAGATGGGCCATAGTGTGAATGTACTTAACACTACTCACTGTGTAGTTTAGAATGGTCGAGATGAGAAACTATCTTGTGTGTATCTTTTCACAATTACACACACACACACACACACACACACACACACAGGGAAAGGATCCAAACAAACTCACAAGAATAAGCACAGAACTTGGTGACTTAGTTCTTGGCCCAGCAGTGAAAGCATCCCTGGGAATCCATCAGGAATGCTGAGCCCCAGGCCGTTTGCACACACTGTGCATCATAGCCAACCCTGAGAGATGCACAGGCACAGAAAAGTGTGATTGCAAGTGAATGCGTCACCTTCTTGTTGGTAGAATCACAGATATACGGTACTGTATTCTTCATACTTTTTTTTTTCCAAAATAGACATGTATAACTTATGTAAATTTGCTTTCATTTTGATACCAATCATTCTCATCTTTTTGGATATTTTAACAGACC